TTGTCCCTTAAGGAGAGAAGGCACCTAAGTTGGCAGCAGATGGGGCAGAGCCAGGTGGGGAGGTATAGGGGTTCCAGGGGACATGATCAGGGAGCAACTAATTGCAAAAGACACTATCAGTGTACAGATACCTGTCTGTCTCCCCCTGGGTGGGAAAACTGCCATCTCAGTCCACCTACCTGCTGGGGTGGGCCTGATCTGGTGCCCAAAACCCCTGCCAGAGTGCCCCAGGCTATCAAGGTCCCCAGGAGGAACAGCCCTGTCCAGCTGCCCACCACACCCCATACAAACTACACACACACACACACACACACACACACACACACACACACACACACACTGTACTCCCTGGCACTCCCATGGAAGCCCAGACTGGAAAGCTTGCAGGTGGCCCCAGGAGCTGCCCTCCTAACTTCTTCCAGATTTGGACAGACCTCCATCAGGACCATGGGTCAGGGAAATTGGAAGAACAGGATTGAAGCTGAGAATAGCTGGCAGGGATCTGATGGCTTCTCTCTAATAAACTGGGCACAACTCAGACATCAGGTGGGGACGATTCCTGTCCCACCTTTCCTGGGACTGAAAAGACTCTAGGAGGGGAGGAATCTAAGGGTTGGCTCAGGCCTGAAACATGGTGACCAAGAGTGAGGAAGGCTGTTTGGAGAAGCAGGGCTCACAGAGGCCACAGGTGTTGGCTTTCTAGCTAGCAGGCAACAGGTGGGAACTGTAGGGCAGACCATTCCCCTGGGGCTGTGGGAGCAGCACTCAGGGGTCTAAGCTCTTTGATACAGATCCTTATAGGTCACCATGAGTTAAGTGGTTTTAGGGGCTAAGAATATTATTGAAACTCTTATTAATTCAAGTCAGATCCAAATAGACTTTCCAGTTCACCTGCTGGCCTCTGTGCTTCTTCCCAGTCCCCCAACCTGCCTAGGAACTGGGAGGGGGTGACTTCCAGCAGTGGATTGGCTGGCTTCTGGGTTTCATCTAGAACCCCTCAGGGCTCTTCTATGACCTCAGGAACTCCAGCCAGAGCTGGAGTGGCCTATATGATCTGCCCAAGGCCAGCTTCTGTCTACCCTACCCCCAGACACTGGGCTGCTTGAGAGGGTCAAGCTGGGCCCCTTGGCCCCTTCCTCAACATCTCACTAGAGCCATGGGCCTCCTGGAGCCAACCCT